AGGGCAGACCCGGAGACTGGCAGACACGAGATCAGCCGCTGCCTGATTTATACTCCGCTTCACTCGTCCTCCTCATTAAAGCAATGTTCCGCGATCAGCTCAAGAGTCCTGCATTACAGTCTTTACTGAACACAAATCTCACACACAAACGAGAGCAAGAACTACCATCTCTGGCAAAGAATCGGACAACCCTGCTACCACAAACTTAGTTTCATTAGTTCCAATGTTCACACAAAGATGCTTTCAGTAAAAGGATGAATTGATCTTTTAAGTGAATGGTGGGATTTATTTTCTACGACCACGTTCAGAGATGCAGCTTCTGCTGTTCATTTTTATGGGTAGTTTTTGTGCCTCTGAAAAACACTGCATTATTTTTATTTGCATATCATATTTTATTTCAATTGAGTGATTCCCAAAACGATGTCAGTCGAACGCCTCTAAACTATACTCTTCCAGTTCTCCGGAGATTTTCAGTGAATATGTTGTTCTCTCTGATGTTGGTCAATAGTCACGTAAACAAATACAGTAGTTCAACTTTTTTAGTAAGTGTTTAAATGTTGAATACATTTATTTTTTAAAAATATTTTTATTTTTTATTTAATATAATAATACATGACATTTATTTAAATTAAATGTAAGTTTTTATATTTTATTTGATTTCATTTAATATTTATTTAATTTTCAGTAATGACATTTTTTCTTCTTCTTAGTTTTAGTTTACAATAACAAACCTGCAACAAACGTCTACAATGAGGAAATATTCTATTCTATTCTATTCTATTCTATTCTATTCATTCTTATGATTTAATTAAAAACGGAGAATAAAAAGGTAAACCTAACACATTTAAATGTAGCATTTATGAATCACCGATTCTTTTAATCCAAGTAAGAAGCAGAGAATATGTGTTTGAATGGTTTTTGGACTCCTGGGCCGGTTAGTGACGAGCCTCACCTGGCTGAGCTGACCCACAGGTGACCCGGAGACGTTAAGCGTGTGGCATCTGAAGTTGAGGAGGGTGTTGTGCTGTGGAGCGTCGGCCACCTGGGGCAGCAGAGGCAGACGCTGCTCCACCGTACACAATAAACCCATGAGAGAGTCCGGCCGAAGCAGCAGCGCCTCCAGAGCGATGTTCACCGAAACCTGCCACAAACACACACACGCCACACTAATCACTCGCTGGGAAATAAACAGCATTCATTGTTCGAGGTTCTGCTGAATGAGTCAAGGACTGATTAGGAAAACAAAGACTCCATTAACAATCCCAGTCTGTAACCTACATTATCAGAATAACCACACGTCTGGCATTACGTCAAGATTTACTCGGTTAGACGCAAAAAAGCCACCATGTACTGATCTACAGGAATAGACCACAGATTCACAAACACAAGATTCAGGGAATAAATCAACAGCACACTAACCCTTCACATCAGTGTTTAACCAGCAAAATCTCAAGAGAAATGCATGCCAATTATTAGAGCGAATTAAAACTACATTTAAAAACCATTAAAAAAGCGTTACTTAAAATAAAATAAACATTTACTCCCAGTCTGTAACCTACATTATCAGAATAACCACACGTCTGGCATTACGTCAAGATTTACTCGGTTAGACGCAAAAAAGCCACCATGTACTGATCTACAGGAATAGACCACAGATTCACAAACACAAGATTCAGGGAATAAATCAACAGCACACTAACCCTTCACATCAGTGTTTAACCAGCAAAATCTCAAGAGAAATGCATGCCAATTATTAGAGCGAATTAAAACTACATTTAAAAACCATTAAAAAAGCGTTACTTAAAATAAAATAAACATTAACAAAATAAAAAATAAAATAAAAATAAAAATAAACTTTTATTTTTATGTAGAGGAACATTTCTTTTTTTTTTTTTTTTAGTTCAACCTAATGTACTAAAATAACTAAAACTGAAATAAAAAGTACTAATCAAATATATAGACATAAAAAAAGCCTACTAAAAATGACAAAAAAAGACAACAAAATTACTAACACTTTAACTAAACTTAAAAATAAAAACAGAAAATAAAAAGACGAACTGATTCAAAATATGAATAAAAACTATAATAGTCTCTCAATGATACTAAAATTACACTGCAATTTACATTTTTACAATTTCTTAACTTTTTTTTTTGCATTCCATGTACAATATTGGTTATGCATATAAAATATCCTGCATCTACGTGACTCTTTTTAAGTGCATCTTTTGACATTTTTTTTTTTTCTTTTTCAAATCAGTCAATTCCATAAGAATTCGGTATACAGGTTATAATAATTACATCTTACGTACAACTTTTTTCCCCCCATATACATGAAAGGCTCTTTGCACTGTGCGTTTTGTGTTTGTAGTATGTTTGTTCTTGTTTTTTTATTTATTTATTTTCTCTAACCTGTGTAAAATTCATTGCCAAGCAAAGTTGTATATGTTCTGGTATGTTATGATATAATAAACAAAAAAACATATCCTTATAAAACACGAGAGACAAAAATAGATTCGTAAACAACATTCTGACAACAGGCATGCACAACTTTTGATTTTATTTGAGAAATAAAATAAAATAAAAATGTATCAATTATTATTTAGAAACAAAATAAGTTTTAAAACATTTTCAGGAAAAAAAAAAAAAGGCATCCTCCCTAATGAAATGTGTTATAAGATGACCTTTGAGATGCCGGTGGTGTTTGCGTTGAGCGCGAGGTCTGCGATCCGCTCCACACACTGGACGATCCGTGTACACGCTCGAGCCTCACTTATAGATCAGCTATCATTAGTTTCACTGGATTTACTCTGACACAAGGAAAATAGATTTCCTTAGATATTCACATTATATTAAATTATTTAATGTAAATAGAAAATATACAGAATAATATATTTTTTCAATATATTACAATATATATATATATATAATATATATATATATATATATATACAAAAAATATATTAAATAATATACAAAATTATAAATTATATATCATATTATGATATTTGTATGATAAGTAATAAATAAATGTCAATGCAAAAAATTTACAAATAAATACATGCATAAATACACACATACATAAATAAATGAATAAATGAATGATTGAATAAATGAGTAAATACATAAAAAATTGAATAAATGAATGAATGAATGAATGAATGAATGAACTGACATACTTATTTTAGTAAATGTTTTCTTATATACAGTACCATGACATATTTTCATATAATAAATGTGCTACCCATAAATTGAAACAAAAGTTTATGAATATATGTTCAATTTTCATGTAAAACCATGCATTAACTCATGAGAGAGATATTAATAAACTATATATATTGATTATATTATTTATTATTTCAATATGCATTTATTCGTTTTTTTTTCTTTATTGTAAATGTAATATATTTATTTATTATAATACTGTATATTTATTTATTTAGTCCATTTTGCTGTATACTGAAAATTAAATGTATTATTTCATAAACTGTATTATATTTTCTAGTATATTCCTGTATATTTTTGTTTCATAAAGGTATGTTTTTGCTTTCTCTGCTCATGCACAGCTTATCTGAACTGAATTTATTTCCAGCACAAGCCATCAAAACCTGTAAGAGCATTCGTGAGATTCATATAAAGGCGTGGTGATGAAGGTTATTTCTCATTTACTTCAGTAGCTCATCCTCGTTTAATGGAGGAAAACCGGCAATATTCCCAGCTCCTCTGTGACCTCCAGACCCTTCAATAACCTACGAATCCTAACGTTACTGTAACTGCCGTGAAATCTAATAAATAATAAATCAGAAGCAGAAACCCACACAAGATTCAGCACAAATAAAAACATCTTAGACACAAGCAGCACCTCAGATTCACTCCACACAAGTACATTAACTATCCTATAACTCTAATGCATTCGAAAATTCTATCAGATTTTCTCCATTAAGAGAATTAATTTGATAATCTCACACTTATATTTTGCACACCCTGTTTTTACTGAGTTCAAATTAATTAATTATTTTTATTACATTATTAAAGTAATTAAATAATTAATTAATTTGTATTTATTTATATTATTTTAATTATAATGTATTAAATTAATACTATTATTATATTTAATAATATATAAAATTATTAAATTATTGCATTTATCTATGGAACCTAAATACACAGTAAAAGTAGCATTTAAACACATATTTCACTCAGAAACTGCTAGTAAAAATTAAACATGAAATTTTGACAAACAAAGACTGAAACTGTATTTTCTTGGAAAATGTACTTCAAAAAGATTTATTTACCTTAAAAAAATCAAATTTTTACTGTGCATATATATATATATATATATATATATATATATGCACAGTAAAAATGTTGATGGAATAGCCTATATCAAAACTTGATTCATAATGATTTAATAATGTTTGATTTTTATATATACAGTATTGTTTTTTTGTTTTTTTTCTATTATAAATCGACTCATTTGCATGGTTGCTTTCCATGAGCTTCATTTCCCAGTAAAAACACATACTCATAAAATGTAAACCTTGAATGCACAGTCAATAAAACGAGAATAAGAGCCTCTTCCAAATGAGTGCAAATGTTTGCATACTTAGCATGTCGTGTGTGTCTGGCCTGAAGGTCACATATGGCAGCATGAGTTATGTAATTAATACCAATTTCCCCAAAGCGAGCGAGTGTGTTTTCTCCTCATTCACACACAAACAGCCTCCTAGAGCTCTTGTGATGGAGTGTGAGCGTCCGCCGGTGTTATTAAAATGCTAAACGTGTTGACTGAACATGTGCACATAACACTTAAAGCTGGAAATAGCTGATAACAATGTGCAGTGACTCAGATTGCATCTAAATGACAGAGTAGCAGAGGAAGAGACTGAGTCACACATCAGAGCGTGAGACACAGTGCACCACTGCAGTCTACATGAGCGGACATCACTTCCAAACATGACAGACTTACTATAAATATCTCACGCTATGTCTAATAGCACAAATATCTAAACATCCTTAAATCAAGACCAAGTCCATTTCTATCAAATGAAAATTATCCAGATCAAGTGCGTGCTTAAAACCACTGAAATACTATTAAAGATTTTATTAATATTTTGAATATTTATTTTAATTTTAATATTAGTTAAACTGCTTGTCAATTTTTATCAGTTTTTTAAGCATGTTTTTTTTTTCAGTTTTAATGAGAAATGCTGAAATAAAATCTTTTTTTAAGTTAAACTAAATTAATAAAAATAAGCTTAAGTTTTTATGTTTATATTTTATTTTATTTCAAGTAACAAAAATGTTAATTTTTTTTATTATTATTGGTTTTAGTCTGGTTAACTATAATAACCCTGTTTATAACAAGATATTCTCATTTTAAGCATTTTTTTTTAAATGTCTTTATAGTTTTATTAATTTTATTTGTATTAATTTTTATTTCAGTTTTAAAATATATATACATTATTTCAAGTAATTTTTTTGGTTTTAGGTTTTGTTAACTATAATGCTTGTAACAAGATATTTTTGGCAGATATTATATTTATTCATTTAGTAATAATTTTTTTTCAGTTTGGTAAACTATAATAACCAGTTTATAACAAGATATTTTTGCTTCTTTTAAGCATAAACTCACTTTATTTTGACACGTTTCCCAGAAATGTGTCTTAATGAGGTTTTAAATCTCTCAACTGTTTAAGCAAAGACAAGATCATCTTCAAAAAGATCTTGTTTTCTGGGAAACGGATCAAAATGAAGTGAGCTTATGTTTCAATGAGAGAGAAAAAAATCTGCCAATGAAATCAGAAAAATAAACTAATTTTCCCTCTGAATTTCATTTTTATGACTCCACTACCAGATATTGTTGTTCTTCTTTTAATCATAAACACTTCATTTTGACCTTCATTTTCAGTTTCTCAAAAAAAAAAAAATTCTTAACTTTTGTCTTTTTGCATCTCCAGTATATGTATCTTGATTTAAGGATGTTTAGATATTTCTACCAGAAAACAAGACACAAATACTGAGGAAGAACATCACTTTTTGCAGTGATCCATCAAAAGTATTACTGTACATTTCATTAGGTGCGAAACTAGGAAAAATGCTGCAGCTTTAAAGATCAAGACAACCTTGCTTTTCTTAAACAGCCATTTTTATTACCTGAGGAATGCGTGATTGGATTTGAGTTGAAGAAATACCGATGGCATGTGATTCTCACCTCTCTGACATGATCCACCAGACGTGTGAGTCTTTCTACCAGATGAGTGACGAATATCACATCCATCACGTCTCCAAACAGCGCCGCCCTGCTGGTGAGAGACGAGAGCTGCAGCGCCAGCATCAGAGCGCTGGAGACGTTCACCGACATCTGAGAGAAAACCAGAAGATCAGACTCATTTCAGCATATTCACTGACATCAGTGTGTCTCTACATACACATTACGGTTCAGAATTTGGGGTCAGTACTATTGTTTTTTTTTTTAAGAAATTAATACTTTTATTAATCAAGGATGCATTAAATTGATCAAAAGTGACAGTAAAGACATTTATAATGCTACAAAAGATTTATATTATTTCAAATAAATGCTGTTCTTTTGAACTTTCTATTCATCTGTGAATCCTGAAAAATAAAATGTATCACAGTTTCCACAAAAATATTGTGCGGCACAACTGTTTTCAACATTGATAATAATCAGAAATGTTTCTTGAGCAGCAAATCAGCATATTAGAATGATTTCTGAAGATCATGTGACACTGAAGACTGGAGTAATGATGCTGAAAATTCAGCTGCGCATCACAGAAATAAATTACAGTTTAACAGATATTCGCATAGAAAACAGCTGTTTTACATTATAATAATATTTAGCAATTTTTACTGTATTTTTTATCAAATAAATGCAGCCTTGGTGAGCAGAAGAGACTTCTTTAAAAACAAACTTTTGATGAGAAATCAAAAAAGTTAAGACAGTTTTCATCATCAATCACAGAAATTAATTACATTTTAAATTATTACACAGTATTCCTGGTTTTACTTCATTTTTGATTCTGTGTTGAGCAGAAGACATTTCAAAAACAACATCTCAAAAATATTAAACAATCTTATCAACCCCAACTTTTTGAACGCTACTGTACATGCACCTTTCTGAAATTTTTAGACAGTTATTTAATTCTAAAAACAACTAGTTAAATCTAGTTGAAACTCACGTTTTAGCTGCTAATATTGTGTTTGATTATTGTATGTCATCAGGATGCTTGAGCGTTGTTATTTTCAAATGTTATTTTCATGTGAATCAAACTATTTCACTAATAAAACTTTTCAGATTCTGTCTGAATCTGTATTTAGCACTGAACAGTTGTGATCGGATCATACATAAACAGGTCCAAAGCAACATAAAATAATAATTGTGAAGATTATTGAGAGATTCTGAGGCAATCAAGCATCAAAGAATCCCTCGCTGCGGACGCTTTTCAGCCTTTAACACACAAGTGATTGAGTAAATCAAGGTCGAGTTGAACAGCTGCTCAGTATGATCTTTATTTGACCCTCTAGCTCTAGCACTCTCTATTCTAATTCTATTTGATCTATTTGTTGACTTGACCCTCTAACACTTGCAGTCTCTATTCGTTTTCTAATCTATGTACTTGTTTTCTTTTTGTTAAATATATACACACACAGTCACACAC